AGCAGCATGTGCAGCAGTCAACAGCCAATGTGCAATTATGCATGTGCAAACAGAATGTAAATAGTACATCACATATTTCCTGGTAATAAACTCCTCAGCTGTTTAGGAGTCTAATGGCAGAGGGAAAGAAAGAGTTTTTCAGTCTAGTGGTCCTGCATTTCACACTTCTGATCCTCCAGCCAGAGGGCAGAGAAGTGAACAGTCCGTGCTGGGGGTGGGTGGGATCTTTGAGGATGGAGGCAGCTTTCCTACGCACCTTGCGGTGGTAAATGCTCTGCAGAGAGGGCAGTGGAGTCCTTGTGATCTTCTCCACAGTCTTTACCACTCTCTGCAGGCGCTTGCGGTCCATACCAGTTGTAGAGGCTAAATCTCTACTGTTTGTTTTAGCCTGTTGATTGCCTGTATAGTTGACTTTGTTTTGACGCGTGTCCACACATTACAAGTTCACTGTGCATCCAGTACAACAAAAAAGAGTTACTCACGAATCCACTTGGGTAGATGAAAACACTTTACTTTAGCCAAAGTGAGCGTGAACAATCCTCCAAGGTGAACATGAACAATCCTCTTCATACACAGCAAAAATGTATCTTAAATGAAGTTGTTCAGCATCAAAATTACATTTTGAAACATAAGGTAAGGTGACGCTGACGTGAGGACGACGGTCAAAAGACTGTTTTTAGCCAAAAACTTACAAGCTAATCTCCTTCCACAACTATGGTACACTCACGTTTTTCTTCTCTTCTTCTTCTCCTCTAATGTCACCACAAGGTGGCGCCTTTATACAATAAAACTGAACAAATGTAAGAAATATTAACTTCAAACATAATCATTCCTAACCGATTACCATATAACATAAATCACAAAATGTACAACTTATAACATCTGGATCCTACACTGTGTTTACACCCAGAACATGACCGGGTGTGTGTCTGTGTTTACTAGATGTGGTCTTGTCTTTTGCTGACGCTGTTCTTCATTTAAAAACCAGGAGTCTGCCTGAGTCCACAGCCATTTATTGGGTTTGGTTGGACTCTTCTCTTAATAGACAGTAAATCTCTATAAATTAACGATTTCTGCCAATAGTATTGTTTATTTGTGTATTTTATTTGACGTGGGATGTGCACATTTAATCAACACTTACATTAGCAACATCAGTGTAAAAGGTGCCAGGGCTAACACACAGGTGGCCGTTCACACCTACGACCTAACGTGCACGTCTTTGGACTGTGGGAGGAAGCTGCAGGACAGCAGCCACACAGAGGACACACAGACTGCACAGGAAGGCTCCAGTTGCTCGGCGGGGTCGTATCCAGAGCCTTCTGGCTGTGAGGCTGCACCGAGCATCTTTGAAGCTGTAGTTAGTGACAAGCTGCTGCAGAGCGTCGGTCCCTCTGTTTTGGAGTCAAAGCTTCGTTACGTTGCACAGTGATGCAGACCTTTGAGCCAGTGTTTACTGCAGTCTTTCATTTTTCTATAAACTCCATGAGATTAGTTTATTGTCTGTTAAACTAACTGAAGCACTTTAATCACATAGCTGGCTCTAAACTTGTTATGTAGTCACTGTCTTTAACAAAACAGATGTCAGAACAAAAACAGCCTGCTTGTAAATTTGTGATTGTAACAGCTGTGACAGACTGGGGTTTCTTTAAGTTTGTTTTTCATGTTGCAGCGAAGCAGCTGTGGATCCAGTGTTTTGCTGTGTTCATGTTCAATGTCTGTCTGTTGTGTTATAGTAAGATGAACGCAGACAAGCGCGTGGAAAGCCCCATCCCAATCCTGCCGCTGCCCACGCCAGACGTGGAGACAGAGAAGCTCATCAAGAAGAAAGACGAAGAAGTGAGCGACTCCTTAATAAACCTCAAATACTGAATGATGCATGGCAGCGGGTGTTACATAACCAGGATGCTGATGTGAGCTGAAGAACCCCATGTGTTCTTATGTAAGCCGTGTCTCATCCCCCTCTTGTTCCCTTTTCTCTCTGCAGCTGAAGAGGATGCAGCAGATGCTTCAGAAGATGCAGCAGCAGATGCACGGGCAGGACCTGTGACCCCCAACCTCCGGCGTTACATGTTAGACGTTAATTTAGGAAACAAAAATCCCACAAATAGCACAGAGTTAAACCTTCACTAATCCCATCTCTTCAGGGGATGTCATGAAGAAGTCTTCAGACGTGTACAACCAATATTTAACCTGACTTCCAACACACTGGTCCCAAAGTAGCAGCAGATGAGTGACAACATGCATGAAGGTGTTTAGAATTACACCGCTGTTTAATGCAGCCGTAGATTTAGGAATACTACATGAAACTAATACACCGAACCCTTGACTCGTTTAGTTTAGGTTTTTAGTTTGTGCACCTGCTGCCTGAGAGATGACACTAGACTGAAAAGTGGCTGAAGGTATCTCGCTGTTATGTCGTGGTCGGTTTCCGGTGGCCTCTCAGAGTCGGCGTGTCGTCCCACTAGAACAACAGCGTGACACCTTCAGCCTCCCTTCAGTCTGCAGTATGCGTGCATGTGTGCATGCTCATACTTTTCCTCTCTGACTTCGAGGAGCATTTACTCAGTGAAGCCATGAATTCTTCAGACAATCTCCTTATACAAAACCGTGAACCACCAATTTCTCAAAACAAATTCTTGCAGTGTACAATCATAAGTGTGACACAGTCACTGACACGTTGGCTCCTCATGCTTCAGAGAAACTGCCACAATCAAAATCCCCAGTTTGTCAGCTTTATAATAACAACAGTAACTTTTATTTATATGGCACTTTTCAAAAACAGTGTTACAGTTTAAAGTAAAGAAAGGACCAGTAACAGGGTTTAAGATCAATAAAATCTCTTTTCATCTAAAAATGTCTGGTTTTTATTCCAGTAAATAAACGTGTTTTTAGTTTAAATCACGTCAGAAACAAGTTCTTTCTTGTTTGGTACAAATTTGTCAAAAGGACTAGAAGGTTGTCCTGGAGGCCACTGCCGCTCCATCAGCAGATAACCTGTGGGAACTTTGTTTAAAAACTAAAGAAACCTGGCAGAGCCGTTCATCTGTGGCAGTGATTATGTTTACTGAGAAACCCATGGACCAGTCTGGTGCAGCTGTGAGGCTCAGTGTCAGACAGGACACTAATTAAACACACAACAAAATGAAAGCGATCAACTGTACAAACCACACCCCCCTGGTACAGATGCATTTTACCAGTGGCAGTGAAAAACATTTCCTGGTCTGATGAATTAGTGCGACGGGGTTTGTGGGTCCTCTGATCTGTACCAGCTCAGTGAGTCCGCTGTGGGGACACTGGGCCTCCAGCTTCCTGTTTAAGGTCAATGCATCGCACCAAACCTCACGGTGGACCAGTCATCTGACAGACTGCAGACACGTTTTTAAGTTTCAGCCGCACCATTTTGGGCTGGGCCCCCCAAACTGCTGAGTCGGGCCCTGCTGTCTTCTTGTTGATACTTCCGTGAAAAAGGGGGCTGGTCGACCCCAGAGTCTTTCCTGGTGTTGTAGTGCAGATGAACAGCATGAATACAGACACCGTGAGTTTGTCCGGAGGTAAGTAACCGGTGCGTCGGTGCAGGAATGGAGCGGAGCGCAGGGGGCGAGGACAGCTGCTCGTCCCAACCGAGTACCCTGTGGAAACAGTTCCAAGCCAAAGCCAAACCGCTGCTCAGCCCCAGGCTGGGCGCCAGAGACCCCGGAGACGAGAGGGAGCGAGGCAAATGGATGTTCAGGAAGATGAAGCGGAAGGAGAAAGTCGTTCTGGACCGGCTGATCTCCTCCTCACAGCCCGACTTGCTCTTCTCCTCTCAGCTGGAAGTCCAACCGAAGGAGGCTCAGCTCTGCGGAAAGGCGGGCGGACTCGGCCGGGAGAAGCTGCAGTCGTCATCCAAGCTCAAGTCCCTCAGCCCACATAAGCCCACGGTGGCTCACCTGGTGCAGTCCCACCACAAGAGCTCTTCTCTGGGGTCCGCGTGTCTGGAGAGGCTGGCTGAGCCACCAGCTGGAGCGACGCGGGAACAGCTGCCGCAGCGCCAGAGGCGCATCTGGAGAGCAAGGATGAGCAGCCGGTGAGCTCCTATCAGTTAAACACAGTGAGTTGAGCTTCAGAATAATAGTCGTCAGATAGGAACTTCCTCAGCTGATAACTGGATCACAAATGAACCTGAGAGCATCCTGCAGGAACAGTCTGCCACAGATACACAAAGTGCAAGTAGATAAAGATATTTATTAGAGGTTGGTTACAGGGAATTTAAATCAAAACACAGTATTTGTACATGTACTGATAATTAAAGATAAAATACAGTGGCACACAGTCGTATGGCCTCCACTGACTGATGTGAGAAGAAGAAAATACAACTCCTGCAGCAAAGTGACATTAAACAGCAGGTTAGAACATAATCCTGGACGTCTCTGCAGGAAATGAGTTTACAGGATACACACAGAATAAAAGTGGACCATGTGATTTTAACCTCCCTGCAAAACAAGAAAGTAACCGGGCTAAACTAAGAACCCACTGAAGTAAACCAGTTAATGCTGGTTCGGGCCTGAGCTCTGCTAACCTGAGAGCCCGAGGTCTTTGTTGTTAGTGGGGTTTATTCCACAGAGAGGAGGTGCAGTAGGAAATGCCTTTGGTTTTGGAACAGCTGTCTTTGGTTTTTGTTGTTGGTTGATACTGTGGTAACGCTGTGCAGTAGAGAAGCAGTATACAGCAGGAAACAGTTATAACTAATAGTGGATGATGAGTGAGCTCACTGCTGCCTGACGGCAAGAAAGTCAGACCTGATCCATCTGGCTTTTCTCTGTGGAGGTTGTGTTTTCCTCTTTGTGTGGGTTCCTCAGTCCAGAGACATGCAGTCTGTGAGAGACTGGCAACCTGCCCAGGTGGACCCCGCCTCTCACTCAGTGTCAGCTGGGATTGGCTCCACCCCCTTCCCCCTGCAACCCTATTCAGGAATAAGTGGTATAGATAATGGATGGATGGATCTATGTGGCCAGTGTAGACTGAGTAAAGCAAATCAAGTCCAGCACTGTTTCCTCAGCTCAACAAGTAGACACGGTCCAGGGAAACACAAAGAAAACATATGAAAGGGAATGATTACAGTAAGAACAACCTGTTTCATTCTTAACACAGGCACCAGACTATTGTTAAAAGACTTGAGCTAGAGTTACTGCTTTGCCTCCACCAAACAGTCAAATACATGGCAATGGTACAACCTGTCATTTGACACCACCAAAAAAGACCCTTGAAGGTCTGCCCTGCACCTTCAAGGGTCTTCTTCAGGGTGCTTCAGTCTGACAGAGGTCGCTCGGTTTCTGTAGCCCACAGGACTAGAGGAGTCGAAAAGACTCTGAGGACTTCAGATGTGTTGCAGTGTGTTAAAATAATCTCTGGCAACTCCTTTGGAAGTAGATCAGTCCAAGTATAAGGAGAAGGGGAGGCTCGTCCAGCTGCGTCTGTCCCAAGAGGTCCTGCACCAGCAGATATTCACTGGAGACCCACTGTAGTACTAACTAGGCCAACAGAGAGACAGGGCCTTCCAGGAAACAGGAAGTGGTCCGTCTGCCCGCTGAGACTATAAGAATTCAATTAGAGAAATTAACTGTGATAAGAAACTGGCAGCGGTGATATAAAGATTTCTCTTTCCAGGCCCCAGCGTTAGTGTGGAAGCAGCAACAAGGACAGCTCAGAGGGTGGGTGGAGGTTCTTTGGGTGGAGCTATGCGTTTCCCTCTGGGACCTGCTCAGGTCACATGCCAGGCGTTAGACCGAGACACAACCTGCATCTGTTCTGCCCTGCTGTTACAGAACAGTGTGTTTCTGAAGTGACAGTTATAGCTCTTTACTTCACACGTTGAACAGAGTGTGTGAAGATGTGTCATGTGTCGTGTTTCCACTGTGCACACTGGCTGTTCAGTTTGTGCAGCGCTGGATAATATTGCCAGGAACTGTTTGTCTTTCGGTCTGGTTGTGTGCACTCCACTGAATCAGGGCTCCTTATTCCCTATGGCCATTCAGGATGCTGCTCATCATGTACACAGGCCTTCACGGTTTGGCCCCCTCCTACCTGTCTGACCTCCTTCACCACTACAACGCCATTGTTCATCTGATTCAGGTCTTCTTTCCATCCCGCTGAGGCCTAAGCGCTGAGCCTGGGGGGGACAATAAAATGTATGATTATTACTATGATGGCTGTGAGACCTGGGTATCTGTCTCTCCACTCGGGTTGGTTCGTCCTTGTCACAGAGTGTTAGCAGTGTGTGTTTCCACATTAGCACACTGGTGATACTGACATAGTGTCTTACATTTCCTTGTGAATGTGTTGTCATTGAGGTAAATGTTGATCTGGTTGATATATAGAGCATCTCTGACTATAAACATCCTCAGGACATTATTATTATGATTATTTCTACTTTCTGCTGTTTGGTGCTAGAGCTCTAGTCTGCTGCAGGAGTCGGTGTCTCTCTTTGGGTCTGTTTGGGTCGACAGTATGTTGGATCAGGAGTAATTATCTTCTTCAGACTGGGTTCAGGATTGAATCAGGTGCAACATTCTGGACTTGGTCTGCTGGTGTATCTGTCCCTTTAGATGCTGCTTCCATAAACAACAGCGCTAACACCTGCTGCTGGCTGCTGCAGCTGCCAGACACGTTTCTGAGCTTACAGAAGTTTGTTTTTCTATTGATCTGGAAATCGTCTCGGTCACTTCCTCAGTGTCTGTCCCACTGCTCCATTTTAAAACAGCCCCTCCTCCCCTCTGTTCATCTCCCACCTCCTCATCTTGCCTGTGTTGTCCACCTGCATCCTGCTCGACCCTGGATCTCCTTCACTGTGTCTCTTGTCATGACTCCTTTTCCCTCATATCCACATGTGGACAGCTGCTGTTGGTGAGCTCATCCTCACCATCAACCTGTATTTAATTACTTGACTTGCAGAGAAGCTTTCTATCAGTGTGGAGTACTAGCAAACCCTCATGACTCCTGACTTCAGCTTCCTGTGTTTATTGCAGTATAAACAAAAGCCTGGGCCCAGTAGAAAATATCTAAGTAATATAATAGACTCATGTTTTATCATTTTTTATTTGGGAACTCTTGAATCTGTAGAATCAGAAGAAGCCGGTGTGATCGTTTGCACCAGATATGTGTCACACCTCGAGTCAAAACAATCAGGGTAGGAGCAGGTAGCGTGCCGTGCTGGTAGCACCTGACTGATGATGATGGGTTTCCCTCTGGATCTCCTGCAGCACATCACATCTCACTGGGTCGCCGCTCACCACCCTCCTGTGAGGGAGTGGTGACCCAGATGGTAATCAGGATGATACACGATAGTTTGGTTTGCTACAGATCACATGGCTGTATGGTCACAGTGCTGTGAGAGGCGGATGCTTTGTGGTTTCATTAAACAGGAAGTACTGAGATGTGTTTACAGCACCACCTTTTACTTCGCTCTGTGTCTGAGGTCGGGATTGTTACAGACGGTTGTTGCCACTTCCCTGGTTATTTACCCACAGCAACGAACTGCTTTCCGTCAGCGCCGCAGTCTTCCATCACTGTAGTCTGCAGTGATCCCCTGTTCTCAGCTGTAAATGAGTTATTATAAAACACCGTCACACTTCTCCAGTTGATTCTTCAGCCCAGTTTGTTTGTAGGCGTTCTGAGGAAAATGTGTCAGATTGGACTTATCCAAAATTCATGTGACTCCTTGTGCGTGCTGCAGCGAGTCTGCCAGGAGCATCCTCTGCCTTTTGTTCACAGTATTGATCACTGCTGTGTATTGGTTGGTTGGTGTTAATGGGCCCCTGAGGCTCCACAGTTGTATTATGGAGAATTGTGCTGCTGACATGAAGAAGATTTATGTTTATTAGTCCTCTATTGACTCTACTTTTAGCCTCGCTCTCCAGGGCCTGTAATTTTCATTAGCTCTCAGTTATGCATGATGCTATTTAAGTTAAAGGGGAATTCCACAGATTTCAGATCAGTTCACTGGTCCTGTACTTTGTACTTATCCTCATTCATCCTTTTTTTGTAATGAAATCAAAAGACATCTTTGGTGTAAATTGATTTATTCTGGAGGAGTGGATAACAATAATAATAATTTCTGCCAAACTCAGCAGCAAACTGCAGACAGACACAGTTTCTGTGGAGACCAGCTGGTGACCACAGTGCAGCACTGGCCAGATAACGAGCCTGATATTTCGCTCAGGAGCTGATGGAGACCAAAAATCATGTAGCTGTGCATCTGCTGGATGTGTAAACAGCCGAGTGTTTGCTAACACGCTGGCCCAAGCAGCTGTGTAACACTGACCTGAACACTCATCCTCTCCTCTTACACTGTACCAGCAGCCTGTTACCTCTAGATTTAACAGCATCGTGTCTGAACTGGGCGCACCCCATTCGTCACGTCCTCCAGCTGAGGACATAACAGCCCTCCACAGTCAGCCTCCTCTGGGTGTATCGGCCGGGCTCGCTTATTTTATTACTGTGCGTTACTGTTTTCAGTTGCTGCCCACTGGAGTTTCTGCAGTTTGCAAAGTGCCAGAGTGAGACTTGGCACACCACAAAGGTTTTCAGCATGAGGGAACTGCTGTAAGAGGAAACTGTGTTTTCTCTCTAAACACACCTACTTCAGTTCATGCACTTGGCAGATTATGTAATTCTGATTCTGGGCAGTGATGTTTGATGAAATGCAATGTAGAGTTTTATTTGCTGCCGATGGAGGTGAGAAGGAGAAACCTGAGCGTTTGTCAGGAGTCACTGTCTCACATTCAGCCTTCAAACCTGATCTTTGTTTAAACGTTTTACCTCCAGAGAGAAAGAAACAAAACTCTGTTATGAATTTGTCCCTGTGGTGTTTGTGTCACTGTGGCTTCTGCGTACTAAGCAAACTCTAAATGACTATGGTTTTATATGGAATTGAAACATCAGTCACAGAAGTTAGTGACTGTCAAAATTAAGGACACACTGTAGAATTATACTGTTTGTACTTTTCTGTAATTTTGAGGCACTTCAGATGCGTTGGTGGCCTCAGTTTTTAGTCACTACATAAAAACACGGTGAGCCTATAAGACAAGACACATGCTGTGGCTTCCAACCAGCTGTTGCAGTCCTTTGCCACATTTCAGACATCTAAGAGTCATTTGACCAAAGGAGGTTTGAGGCCAGAGAAGTCAAATGATCCACTGTTACACAAAAACAAAAAAATCAAAGATTAGTCTAACAACACTGTCTGTCCTTTTCCCTCTTCCATTTATCATCTCACGAGCCCTCAGGTTTATCTGGGGACCCTTTAGAGGGCCCTGACCCCTAGGCTGGGAACCACTGGACTAAACAGGCTCCACCTGGAGCAGCTCCAGATCCACACTTCAGTATCAACAGTGTCAGAACCAGTAGAGTGATACTTTACTGCTGATACTTTATATGTTGTTGATAATGCTGTCCGTGAAAATTCTCAGTCGTCCAGGTCGTGGTACGCTGAAAAAAACCTATCAGAAGGCATCTGGACGTAGTTTTAGGTAGAAGACGTTTCACCTCTCATCCAAGAGGCTTCATCAGTTCTGTCTGACTGGTGGTGAGCAGGAGGTGTTTATCCCACTGGGTGGGGTTCCAGTCCTTCCATGGCCAACAATGTCCCCTAACGGCTGAGTCTTTAGGGTCCAGTGTCGGTGAAAGTCCTTACCTGTCCTCGAACCCTCACATGTGGACTGACTGACACCTGTTGTCCTGGTGTGAGTTAGGGTAGAACTGTTTGGGAAGAGATTTCACCATGTTTTGTGTCTCTGTGTGGTCATGTTTGTATTTGTTGAACATGACCTTTCAGCAGCCTGATTGGCCTGTTCACCAGTCCTGCTCTGGTTTCTGTGTGTAAAGGGTTGAAACACATCCTGTTTTGTCTGTTGTGTATGTTCAGATTCAGCACTGCCACTGCAGAGGTGATGCGCTGCTGCGGAAACTATCAGAAACACTTTGGTTGGACGGGAGGAAGCTACCCTCTTGTAATTTCCTGTCAGCGTTTACCCCTGGGACGAGTTCCCAGGCTGCGTTAGAGGCTTCACTCAGTGTTAGTCATGTTCAAGCACTGATACAGATGCGACTGAGGGAATGAAGCAGCTTTTATTTGGTTCAGATATGTCGGTGAGTTTAGTGTGAGCGTGCTGCTCATGTGGTTTCAGGTTGTGCTGTTTTTAATTCATGCGTCCATCTCTGCTGTCAGGGCTTGGCTGCTCCCTTCCCCTCAGAGCCCCCTCCTGAGCCAGCCGGCCCCAGCTCGGGGATGTACAGGCTGGAGATCGAGCTGAAGAGAGGACACAACCTGGCTGTGCGAGACAGACAAGGTAGAGCTATGTCTTGTCAATTTATTCTTGTTCGTTTCTGCTCTTGCTTTTCTGGATCTGTGAAGCTTTGTCTTCTCAGGCACCAGTGATCCATATGTCAAGTTCAAGCTTGCTGGTAAAGAGGTGTTCAGAAGCAAAACCATCCACAAAAACCTCAACCCGGTGTGGGATGAGAAGACGACTTTAATAGTGGACAGTCTGAGGGAACCTGTGTACGTAAAGGTAACCTCCAAACACACACACACACACACACACATGAAGATGAATTCCCACAGGAGAGTCAGTGGAGATCTGCTGTTGCTCCTCTGTAGGTGTTTGACTATGACTTTGGCCTTCAAGATGACTTCATGGGTTCTGCCTTCCTCTACCTGGAGTCTCTGGAGCAGCAGAGGTACTGAGCGTCACTGTTGTGATATTCATGCCACTATTTGGCATCATTTTTGTGTTTCCTGGTTTCCTGGTCACCTCACAGTGAAGACAGGACTCCAGGAAGTTACTGGGCCAGTTAAGGAATAGTTCCAGCATGCAACTCCTTGTAAAACCACAGATTAAACACAAAGCGCTTTGCAGGTGCTGAGCCCAAATGTTGGTCTGCTAGTGGGTCGATTCACCACTTTGGTTCATAGTAGAATCTCTCAACAGTTATTGGTTGGATCATCCTGACACTGATGGTTCCCAGAGGATGGATCCTGTCCACTTTAATGATCCTCTGCATTTTCCTCCATCCATCCACCATCAGGGCAAAGTTTAAATTTGTCCAAACCTTCAGCCAGACCCAGGCTAGCTGTTTCTTCCTGTTTCCAGTCTTCATGCTAAGCTAAGCTAACTGTATCTTCAGCCAACCCTGACTGAACATACAGATATCAGAGCACTGTTGATCTTCTCGCCTAACGCTCCCAGCCTGTCAGACTATTTCTATGGCAGCAGCTCACGCTCAGACCTGTGTGTTACAGGACCATACCTGTAACTCTGGTGCTGAAGGACCCTCAGCACCCCAGTCAGGACCTGGGCTCCCTGGAGCTGGCCGTCACCCTGACGCCTAAAGACAGCCCCACTGAGGAGCGGCGAGACTCGACGGTACGTATCCTGGTGACCGCCTCTCGTCTTTGTTCTCTCACGTTGTCTCAGTTCAGTTAAATGGAAATTTGATCTATTTTATTAACGTAGCAACTAAATATGTTGCTATGCAGCTACTGTATTACATTAAAGATAAGCGGGTTAACGCAGTAAAACATTTGTGATGAGTGAGGCTGGATTTTATGTTTTCAGTTAAAACACTGGAATTTCTCCTTTTTTCATTATGTGGTTTGTAGTTTTAATTGTTAGAATATAAAAATGTTCCCATTAAATGTTTGAGAGCCTGAAACCAGCAAATGTTGAGAAGTTTGTTTGTATTTAAATATATAACCAGTTATTATATTCTGTTGAACCGCTAATCAATTGATCGGCTAATCCACTGGATCCCAACCTGAGGTTCAAAACCTCCACATAGAGCAAAAGAAGATTGTAAGATCAACAGGATGAGAAGGCAGAGAAACATATTTCTGTTGTATAATATTATTTTCATTTGACCAAACTCACCTCTGATCTTTACTGTATTTCTTGTGGGACTGGGGATATTTTAAGGTGATTCAGGTTCTTTAAGAATTCTTCTAAACAAACCAAATAACCTTTGGTGCAACAGTGGCCACGAATCCTTTCAGCACCACTAAGAAAATACCATTAAGAGAGTATTTAGTGGTGGAGGAAGTATTCATATCTTGTATTTACTGTAAGTACAAGTACTAATACCACTGTGTCTGTGAATGTCTGCAAATCCTCCCATTTGAGAAGCTGGAACAATTAAAAGTTTAAGATTTTTACATGAAAAATTACTTCAGAATAGTTCAGTTCATTTCTGCCAACTGACAAATTGTTGGATGCTTTAATCTATGACAGCACCAAGTTCTTCATCTGTAATGTAACTAGTGCCTAAATCAGATAAATGTGGTGGAGTAGAAGTAGAAATGTGAGGAGCTCCGGTCTGCGCTTTGGTGCAGGACTTCAATAAGAGTGTGTCAGTGACTTTCCACCACCACAATCACACAGGTGTCACTGTGAGAGTTTAGTATCAGTGAGTGTCTGTGCTGCCATGTGTGTTTCCTGCGCCAGAGGGAAGTCACGATGTATCGGTGGAAGCCTCGCGTGAATCAAGTGAGCGTAGCTGTGGTTAGGGTGTCAGTGACTTCCTGTAGCTGAGCCCTGACAGACCGTTTCCTACTTCAGCTGTTTTACTATCAGAGCCAATAAACTCATTGCTTTCAGTTTTCTTATTAACATTTGGTATTAGCTAGTTTTCTGGTGGTTGTACGGTTCTGAGCTGCACTTGTCATTTGGATTAATGAGTGTGTCCACCTGATAAATGTTAGGTTAAGTTGTGGTCCGGACACAAAACATGAGCTTAAAGACATCAGAGCTGAGGGGAGCTGTAGATTCAGCTGATCATCCAGCGACTGCACTCTCACACTGGCCTTACATTATTACTGAAATAGGAATCACAGCCACTTTAAACATGAAATATTCAGCAGTAATTACTTTTTACATAGTTTCTGTTCATTCACTTAGATCCTTCATAAGTGTCAGGAAATGGTTTCCAAATGTGTCCTCGGCACTAAGATTTTAAACATAGTCTCATTCATGTTTTATTCACTATATAAATTAATTATACACATAGGCGTAGTCTGTGCTGCAGCTCCAGTCAGAGAGCAGGAGAGACACATACGACAGGGAGGCAGAGTGATGGAGGAGACAGAGACGAGGAGCTGACATGAGAGAGAGTCAAACAGCAACAGAGAAACAAATACAGAAGAATCAACACTGAGGACACAGAGCCCAGAGAGATCACAGTCTCGTTAAAGCTAACGAGCTCACCTGTGAGGCCATAGCCATCCTGTGGAGCTGAACTGAAGCAGGACACCTCCTCTTCATCACTTTAGCTCCCTGCAGTTAGAAATCTTAGAGCCTCCCCCAGTGGCTGTGAACTGACTGCACTGAACCCACATGTTGTGCAGCTTCTAGTCTTTTCCCACACTTGAAGGAATCAGTTGAAATAATGCATTTTAATGTATGTCCAGACCATGCTGCTCAGGAGGTCCTGGAAACGCTCCTCTAAGGTAAATCATCACCAGCATCCTCTGTGTGTGCAGCCACAGCTTTCCATCCGCTGTCCTGGCAGGTTCACGTTGTCACCGCTCTGTCCGTCCTTTGTTTGTCAAAGGTTTTTTTATGACGTAGAGTTTGAGCAGACATCACGCATGCTGTGCACTGAGGTCCTGAAATGTTAGTTGTTGTTGTCGCCGTTGTTTTTTCCACTGCCTACAACCAGGGCCTTGTTCTTCCAGCTATGTCGCCACACTAGCATGATGTTATCAGGCTAAGGAAACACAGTTAGACCACTCATCTGAAGTGAAGTGGATATTCTGTGTCTTATTAAGAAACGCCAAAAGACTTCATCCAATACAAACGAACAATGAAATGCAGTTGTAGCTCACTCTATGATACACAAACACAAACTCTATAAACACATATTTTCTGTGTAAATGACAAAAGCACTTTGTCACAGTTAGAATAACTGAGGTGTTGTCTGGTTTTAGTGGCCTGATGACATTTATTGTTGGTCTGTCTCATCACGATGAGGTAAAACTCACCTTAACGTAACTGCACTCTACGGCTCACACTGAAGACGGTGCACGGCACTCGCCATTCACATCAAGCTAACTCAGTCCACATGTGAAGAACAGGGCCTTTTCCGTATTGCATAAATAAAATTCAGTGTGTGTGTGTGTGTGTGTGTGTGTGTGGCCCAGCAGCAGCAGTCAGCATGTCTCTCAGAGCTGCATCGGAAACCACAGCTGTGGAGAGGGATCGTGAGCATCGCGCTGATCGAAGGTCAGAACCTGACTCCCATGGACCCCAACGGTCTGAGTGATCCATACGTCAAGTTCAGGCTGGGACCGCAGAAGTACAGGAGCAAGGTCTGGTAGCTCCGCCCTCTGTGGCGGTGGAATTTTACATCTGCGGATGAGGTTGTTGTTAGTAGTGTTTATTCAGGTGACAAACCTTGTTGCTGTTGTGTGTGTATGTGTACAGACTGTGCCAAAGACCCTGAGCCCACAGTGGAGGGAGCAGTTTGATCTACATGTGTATGAGGAGACAGGAGGAGTGCTGGAGATCACGGTGTGGGACAGAGACACTGGCAGGAGAGACGACTTCCTTGGACGGTCAGTCGCTCTCTGTGACTTTGTGTTAGGAAGGTCTCCTTCCACCTCGAGCCTCCAGGACAGCTGCAGTGCTCATCCTTAAATTTTAAGTCAACATGTTGTAGATCATTTTACACAGAATTTCTGTTGCTATTCTACCAGTTGCCTCTGTTCTAAATTATTAAAGATAGTTTTAATTGATTTTTTAACATTAGTTAAGACACACAGTAAATATCTGCAGGCCATTGGCAGTGAAATGATGAATCTCTATAGCATAATCATTTTGGGTGGCATGGTGTAGCAGTGGTTAGTGCTGTCTCCTCACAACCCGAAGGTTCCAGGAATCAGTGGTATAGATAATGGATGAATAATCATTTTTAAACAGTACAACAGACACCAGGGAATCACACCAGGGTCGGTGTGTCCATTGTGTCTACTGTGTGTGTTGTGTAGGTGCCAGTTGGACCTCTCCACGTTAGCTAAAGAGCAAACCCATCACCTGGAGCTGGCGCTGGAGGAGTCCCAGGGCTGCGTGGTGTTGCTGGTCACACTGACCGCCTCAGTCCACGTCTCCATCGCTGACCTGTCCGTCACACCGCTGGATGACCCGCAGGAACGCAGAGAGATCCTCAAACGATACGTAAGCAGCGTCTCGTGGCTCCACTGACGTCGGCGTGTGGATGGAGTATCTGCTGAACATTTTTCTGTTGTTGTTCTTCTCCAGGGTGTGTTGAAGTCGTTCTCCAGCTTTAGAGATGTGGGCATAGTGCAGGTCAAGGTGATGAGAGCAGTAGGACTCATGGCTGCAGACGTAACTGGTACAGCAAAATTCTCTGTAATGTGCTCATCATGCATCCAAACACACACAAGCTACAGATCATCAAAATATTTTTATGCTTTCAGTTAGAAGACATTTTGGTATAACAGTACTGAAGACATACATGAAACTAGAGATACATGAACCAGTAGCACCAGGACACAGCAGAACGCCCTTTCCATTTCACCGTCATTCAGATTTCCCTCCTCGTCTTCTCAGGTAAGAGCGATCCCTTCTGTGTGTTGGAGCTGAACAATGACAGACTGCAGACACACACTGTGTACAAGAACCTGAATCCAGAGTGGAACAAAGTCTTCACCTTGTGAGTGACCGGCAGTCAGCATTTCTCTCCAGTCAAACTGGAACATCAAACTGCTCTGTAATCTCATCTTCCAGATGTTCCTATCAGTAGGTCTGCTGTCACTGGTGACTCCCTTCAAGGATCATTCCAGTTTATCACAATGTGGGTCTTATCTTCTTAGTTTCCATCATCATTGTTGTAGGTAATAGTAACATTGTACTCGCTAAAATAATAAAAAATAATTCATCCATGCCCCTACATGAGCGTCCACATACTTTCATACACATTAACACAAGGCCACACTAAAGACGGCCTATTCAGATGGATCTCTGGGACACATTACTACCTCTAAATATAAGAGGGACTTACAAGCAGTACAGTTAAATTAATAAAGACTAAAATACAAAATAGTTCTAGCAGATGTTATAAATGTCTTTATGCCTCCACATTAGCAGCGTATGTCGCTCACAGTCTTGTGGTCATGTTTCTCTCACCCTCTCACTGTTAGTAATGTGAAAGACATCCACTCCGTGTTGGAGGTGACTGTGTTGGATGAGGACAGGGACAGGAGTGCCGACTTCCTGGGAAAAGTCGCCATCCCACTGTTACGTGTGAGTGTCACTAGTGCATGAGAGACAGGCTGTGTGTTAATATATGTGAAACGTGCAGTTCCTCTTCAAAGTGAATAAATCCAAACTGTGATTTCTGTCAGATCCATAACGGAGAGCAGAAAGGGTACATGCTAAAGAATAAGCAGCTGACAGCACCGACCAAAGGAGTCATCTACCTGGAGATCGATGTCATCTACAACGCTGTGAGTGTCGGCCTGCGCCGTGGTGCTGGGATGTCATGTAATGCCTGGTCTCGCTCTCACTTGTGTTTTCTCTTCAGGTCAAAGCTGCTCTGAGGACTGTGGTCCCTGCAGAACAGAAGTACATGGAGGAAGAACCGAAAGTCTCCAAGCAGGTATGTTTATGTGTATTTTAACTATTGGCACCGATGGGACTGGAAATGCTGTGCAGTCCAGTAACTCTAAGCACCTTCTGGTTCACTGGTTACCTGCTTTAAAGGCAGTGCATTGTAATTACTTTTTTTTATTAATGGTCCAATAAGAAACCTCGTGAAAAGTCCTGGAGATCATGGGCTTTATATTTTACATTCACTGTGCAAGGTCAGATTATTAACCAGGCAAAGTGGGCAACTCCCACTGGGCCCCCGAACTCCAGGGGCCCTAAACTGTGTCAGCTGATTGTGCAAGTTTAACTCAGTATACAGTTTTTGGGAACAGTCCATTTGATTTTGTATTAATCCTGATCCAGGAACCTTTAAAGGATCCTTCATCGTTGTGAGATAGGGACAGTTTCAATTCTTTTGCTTCTTACTTCAGACACAATGCTTGGGGAAAAAACTGCACGATAGCGTCCACGTAAAATCGATCCGAGTAACTTTCCAGATCTGCTGATCCAGAATAGGACTCACAGAAATCACATCAAATCACAACAGACTGTAAATGCACACATGTAACACACTCTTCAACACCATCTTTACTTTGCATCACTTCTGGTGGGACGGTGGAGCTTAGGTGACAGTCGACCACCTCCGAGCCCAGTGACTCTTATTGAAGATGTGAATCTTTAAAACAACTCACAACTACTGTGTCTCAGTAGATTACTAAAGCAGGAGGAAAGTGTGCATTTGATTGGGACTATTTTCTGCAGTGGATGAATCCACATTTGGTGTCTATATGATCACTGACTGTATAGAAAAGGGACAAACCCACCGTGACGCCACCCACTGGTTTTCTGATGAACTGTTTTGAAGCACTGGCTGTTGCCATATTGGCAGCGCTCCACTCCTGCTGCTAGGTCTAATCCAAAAACGGACAAAGAGGCGGAGCCTAATGTGGTGCTTGTTCGTTTTATATTGAAAAGAGAAGACTAATAAGAGGATATATATTTCTCAATGTGAAATTTATTATGCATTAACGTATCAAAATTAGCATGTATACATGGATCTTCACTGTTTAGGATAAAACAGGAAAAGACTGTCCTCAACTGGTTGGTATACAATATTTATATGAAAAAATGCTACTATCTAATTGGTCAAAAACTGTTGGGGAGAAGCTGTGGTTTAGACTTAACTCTCCCGTCATTGGTCCCCCATTCTGGTCCGATCTCGTCACTGGCGCGACCTTGTCCTTAAACAGACACTTTGCACAGCCCACAACGCTTCTTAGTATCTTATCAAACCTCAACTCCCCTGGCTTCAAGGAGCAGAGGGAATAATGGGCTCTTTTAGGAAAAGGCAACAAATCTAATGAAAACCTGTGGGATGATTAGACCTTGGAAAACCACTCAGTGCACCAGACTTTTTAATCATAAGAGAGCCTGAAATATAACACAAGTTTCCAGTGTCTCCTACAGAAACTTATTTTCTCTTTATTTTAGTGAACATATAATTGGGTGAAAAATAACTACATAAACATATCTGTGACATGTAAGTATGTAAAC